TTTTAGCTCACTTTATATTTTGCTGAAAAACGCCATTTTACACATTTTAAGTTAGACATTCAAAAAGTTTTATTTTCATCTTTTCTTGCTGCTATTAAATTTACTTTCATCAATGTGAATCTCCGTTCGCATCTTTTCAAGATTATGAATGAGATAACGACAAGCCTGCACCTGTGACAGGAGGCAAAAAAGTCTCTACCGGGTTGGGAGAAAAGAGAGGGCGGGGATAAGCCAATTGTCAGCAACCTCTTTTCATTCACAATTGGCCGTTCCCACCTCTGACGCTATTTATTCACTTGTGTGTGTGCAAATTACATGTGATTACAAGTACAGAATGTATCCATTTTTTACTCTGATTATCCTTTTTATGCTGAGAGATTTTGCTTCATACAAAACATTTGGACTAGATAATTTTGAAGTAAAAGCGAAGGTAACAAAGCTCCTCGACTGTCCAACATCCTGCTGCAGCTGATTGCTTTAGTTTGCACGACGTCCACAAGTAGTGCGAAGGCTGATGTCATCGAAATCTATTGCTATCTCACCGTCTGTTTATCCATCACCCCGTCGTGACGACACAATCATAGATGATTTTCATGGTACCAAGGTAACGTTCCTTCTTTTTCGTTCATTTCATAAGTTTTTTTTTTCCATTATACGGTTAAGGTTACCGATCCCTATCGCTGGATGGAGGATCCAGATTCTGCTGAAACTCGCAAGTTTGTGGACGAGCTCAATGCCATATCTGCACCATTCATTGCTGAGGCCCCAAGTCGAGAGAAGCTCAGCGAGAGGTATGTTGATTATGTCTGTACCTCAAGTTTTCGTTTGATTTTCTTTGCACTGCTTATCGAGAGAAGGCAATCTTAGTGGAGGCGAATGGCGAAAATAACGCCAAGCAGTATTAATCCCGTTTTAGCCTTTTTGGCAACTCCAACTCCCAAACTTCAAACTGAAAAATAGCTCGGTTTTTGTTCTATATCACTGTTCAGGCTAACGGAGTTATGGGATTACGAAAAGTACAGCTGCCCATCAAAACGTGGACTTTTCTACTACTACAGTTACAACTCTGGGCTCCAGAACCAGTAGTAAGTCCTTATCTATCCTTTAGACTGCACGCGGTTACGTCAAGATAGCTAGTGCCCTTTCAGCGTCATATATCAACAGAAATCTTTAAAGGAGAAGGGTGAGGTTTTTCTTGACCCCAATGCTATGTCATCGGATGGAACTACATCTATCAGGTAGGACATGAATTCATCAAAAGAATCTTAAGATAGCGAGAACTTTGCTTTAGAATATCTGCATGGACCAAGGACGGATCGATTTACGCGTATGGGTTAAGTGAGAAAGGTAGCGACTGGGTGACCGTCAAGGTATTGACTTTTAACTTAATCACAATCACAGTATTAAGTAATCAGAATTTTAGTTCCGCGGTGCTGACAAGCAAGATCTAGAAGATGTCATAACTGGAGTAAAACATTCATCTCTCTCCTGGTTGAAAGACAACTCTGGAATTTTCTACTCCAAATATCCCGAACACAAGGTAGATAATTTAACCTATATTTTGAAGTTCAACTAATTTGAATGTTTCAAAAAGACGGCTACTGAGGGTACTTCTGTAGAAAAACACAAGTATCACTCGCTATACTTTCACCGTATGGGAACCGATTGCAAGGATGACGTGC